ATCTTTCTATCCCTTCTCTTTTACATTGTTCAAATTCTTGTTTGATTGCATTTCAAGAAAACTTGAAAGATTTTAAAAAGCTTTTTAAAGAACAATTTTTTAAAGGGGAAAACCAATTCACCCCCCTCTTGGTAGAGACAATTGGCCTAACTTTTTCTACAACTTACTTTAGTGAGAAGTTCAAGAAGAGTCACCTAATTTATTCCACTTATGACAAACTTGGCAACATTGTTAAAACAAGACAAACTCCTCTATAGAACCCTTGGTTTTGAAGTTTAATTAAACAACATGAAACAAAGAAGTCTAGAAGAATGGAAAACAAACACCAAACACTAGGACAAACCATAGAAAAAAAAATTTAAACGATAATTCAAGTTAGAAAGAACGGGTATCCGCACAATAGGAAGTCTCATAGAATAGAAAACAAACTTAAGTTAGAAAGAACAGGTATCCACACATTAGGACAAACCATATAATAGAAAACAAACATTAAATGCTAACTCCAAGTTAGAAAGAACAAGTATCCACACAATAAGTCTAATTCACCAAGAAGAAAAGATATAGACGATCTTTTTAGAAAGAAGTCTAACACACAGAAAATCAATGAGATCAAACTAGGTTATGACACTAGAAACATAGAACAAGCAGAAACGTAAAAACTAACTAGATATAATAGGATTGTAGAAAGACACACACAAAGCACTAGAATAAGGACAACTTATGAAAATCTTTAAGATTGAAGAAAACATAAAAACACCTATATCAAAACACCTAGACGCAATACTAAACGACTATTAAGTCAAAAGCGTCTAAGAGAGTTTAAACTAAACGGGTAAACTTACTATACACAAAGGATATTCGGATGAACTCGCGGGACAAAAATAATGTCAAGACAACGTCTTTCACAAAAAAAATTTAAAAAGCAAAAACCTAAAACATTAAGGAAAAACATAACATGCTAAACGTCATTGCTCTAAAAAGGAAACATCACAAAAAGTGTTTGCATCAGTCTAAACGATACCATCAACTAAACTGTTACTTCGTCCAACGATGAAGTTCATATTCAACACTTGGTATCTTTAGAAGAAGAGCTTAATTAAACGATATCTAAACAGTACATTGAAAATGAAAAGCACTTTATTGTTTTGAGCAAACATTAAATGACATTAAATGTTCAACGTTCAAAAACAAAAAAAAATGATATTTGATGAATGAACTACACATCAAAACCCTAAACAAGATCAGTAGTAGGTGTCAGTAACAAGAAAGACATTCAAAGAATGTTCATTTCTTAAGAAATCGTGACATAGTACCTACGTTGAAACATATCATGAAAACAACAAGTAAAACATTAATCAAGAAGGAGTCTCTTAGAGACTAAACAAAATCAACTACAAATAAAACAATAGAAATCATAGAAGGTTGAAAAAACACTAAAAGCATTTGAAAACATCAAAGCAAACATGAAATAAGACATACATGCAATACAAACTTCAGTTCTATCTTATGCAGAACGATTACTACAAATGTTCGTTAGCCTCATTTTATAAGAATCAAAATGAACGTTAGAAAGAAGAAGATAAAAAAAAATGAAATATCCATAAAAAATTGTGTCAAATGAGAATTCAAATTTGCATAAAAGAACATTATAGAGGAACATCTAGTTAACTCATGATTAATAACTAGTCTAATTGGAACAGCCAAATTATATATAAAATATATAAAATATTACGGATAGGAATAACTTCTATGTTTATATTTGACTAGAAATTAAAAAAAAATCATTGGGTCGAAAGATTTATCATGCATATAATATTGAGATGAAAGTTTCTTAATTTAAACTATTTTATTTAAACTCAATTGGAATAAAAAACAATTATATTGAGGTTATAGTATCTATAAAAGAAAAGTTATAAAATCCATACATTAAGTTTCTTGACTTGCTTACAATAATTTTATATAGTATTTTTTTATTTGGTAATTCTTAGAGGTTAAAATATAACAGGTAGAGAAAAAAGGTGTTGATGCTAATGTTACACGTGCTTGGTAATTAGGATTATACAAAAATCTGTTATAAATTGGTTTTTACGAGATAAGCATGATTTTATAGTTTATTATCAACAATTAATTGCTTGAACTAATTTTTATTTTTCTCATTTTATGTCTAGCAATAATTTTAATACAAAACCTAATATTGCAAGTAACCATAGTACATTTTATAATTTTACTCTGACGAGACGATTATTTTAAATTATTCAAACACAGATAGGTGATCTCCAAACCACTTTTCATCAAACATATTCAAACACAATTTATTTCATATAACGGATTATAATACTAATAATTGGTTATATATTGTAATTCACAATTACTATAATAATCTTATTAATTCAAACCGCATGGTATTTTTTAAATATTGTTTTATTTTAAAATGAAAAAAAAAAGAGTCATGATAAGGTAATGAAAAACATAGCTTAATTATAATAAATAAACAGGAAGACACAAGTTACAAAATTATCGTAAGAGATATTACTAATGAAGAAAAAACTTACTTTATTTTTCTTTATCATCAAAGGATTTTTTTTTTCTTAAGTAGAGTATTGAAAATATTTGAATCTGTATTCAACAAAGAAAAAACTTATAAAATTACTTTGATCAAGAAAAATTATTTATGTAAAAAATTGGAAATTACAGAATAATTGCAGTTTGTAAAAAATACTTTTTTAAATAGTATATAAGTATTCTTACATATGAAATAACTTCATTCGTACAGGGAAGAATATGCACATTGTGTGTATAATATTAAAATTCAAGACTTTATTTTAAAGGAGTTAAATCTGTAAATCACATAAAATAACCATTAGTTAACTAATAGTGTCTTTTGAAATATATTAAAATTAGATTGTAACTCTTTAGATATTGGTACGCATTTAGAGATTGACTAATTAATTAACAAGCTCTACATCGGTGTGTATTGTAGGTTACTATTTTGTACTAAAATTAATATTAAAATACGTATTTTTTTTTCCTTGGATTGATATATACAATCTCAGTACATGTGGAGTATTAGCAAATGTCAAACAAATCTGTAAGAGAATTCAAATTATAATAACAATACTAAAATACGTAGATATAGTATATTATTGAATTTATTTTGTCAAGTTTGATTATATAGAGACTTTTGGCAATGGTATACAATTTCGAAGAGAATATAGTTAAATTTATATAGTATACAGTTTTTTTTTTTGTACAGGTAAATTTAATAGAGTAAAAGCGAACTTTATAGTAGTCCATAACTAAGATAAAGAGAGAATGCAATGAAAATGTAAAATAATTAGGATTTTATTGAATTACAAATGATCATATACGATAAAGTTATTAAATTTTATAATAAGAATTTTTGTTGGCATGACAAGGTATTCTTAATAGTTAATACAACTTCAATAAACTATATTTGAAGATGACAAGTTCACGTGATGGCAACAGATCAAACTCAGTACAGAGTAGTAAGAAACAACACAATTACAGCATTTTAGTAGTTTCTTTTCAATAGAAATTTCACTTGAAGTTGACTCGTGACTAGGACAATGAAATAACATTCATACCATGATCAGATAAATCATAGATTATAAATTATTTATAGATGTAAAAAAGAAAAATAGAATGCTACAAAATTAATATGGTTATTGCTACTAATTATTTTAGTATAAATAACTCTTAAATTTTAATGACCAACACAATTCTAATTAATAAATCATTACAAATTTGATGTTAATGATTCAAAATAAATAAATCAATAAAACATCTTATATCTCCTTTTATTAATATTAATCATCAAAACATTCTATAAAATGAAAGCACGGTTTAGATATTACACTGAAACTTATCCATAAGTCAACTCTGATAGGTTGTTATAAGAACCTACTTTCATTTTCACTAATAATAACAAGTCAAAAGAAAAATTATATTTGAAGTCACATTTAACTATAAGTAAAACAATATTTTGTGTTTTAAGTTGGAACTTTTGCATTTCATTTCTTATAAAAACTGAGTTTGAAAGTAAAATATTAAATATAATATGATAAAAATAATAATGTTTTATAAACAGTAATTGATCTCAAATAAAAAACAAAAATAGTCATCAAATAACCAAATAAAGTTTGCTATCCTGTGAAAGAAAAGATACACCAAGAGTAAATTCCATTGCTTTTAGAACTCTACCTAACTTCCATATGCCCCCACTTAAATAAACAGCAAAGTCATACACGACAGTCACAAAACTCTCTATTCTTCATATTATTCTCTCCAATGCACACACAAGCAACTTAGTTAGTCATGCAATAAGAGAATGATATACATTGATAGATAGATACATACGTAGATATTACCACCATTACTAATATATGCATATATTTACCAAGATTATTCTTAGTCGCAAAGTCTTGTAGCGACAACATAGTTTGCACACACTTCTTCCCCTAATATAGCTTTAGTTCTACAAGACACGGATAGCACAAAGCACACCACTTTTCAGTAGCACTTTGCATGTTTAATTCCCATACGTTTCTACTTTTCAGCCCTCCCAACTCCCAAGAGAAGACTAACCAAAGAGTAAGAAGCACCATCCCAATCCCAATCCCATTTCCAACCTTCTTCTCTTCACTCACCTATCAACTCAATTATTTTCTTCTATCAAGATATCTTTGTTCTCTTCTCCCACAACATCTTGATTGAGATCATTATAAACGACAAATATCCTTCTCCAACTATTTTAAACAAGGGCGTTACCTAAAAACCCTTTATCCTGCCAATTTTTTAACATTTTCTTTAAACAGTAGTAGCAGTAAATACTGACTGGAATAATACCTAACAACACAGGTCCTTTTGCAGAGAGGAGGCTTCAACTCAATTCACAGAACTGGAGCTAGCAAGTTATGTCAAGGTGTGTGTCTATATATAAAAGGATACATATATAAATAAGGTCGAGTTTGCGTCTCTGGTTTTTCTTTTCTTTTTTTTTTTTCTTTTTTCAGAGACCCAAACTCAGCGCAGCTTTCACGTCTAGCCTCCATGCAAACCCGCCACAGTCCAATCTCCAAACATCACACGGCACCATCTTCGTGCACTTCTCGTTCCGCCACGTGTACTGCAACCTCACCCCGCAGGTGAACGCCGGGTGAGAGTAGCACCACCAGGCAGCTCTAGCGCTATCCTTCACCTTCAACCACACCACGATATCCTCGCTCGCCACCATCCTCTTGTACGCCTCATTCACCCACCGCACCCTCAAACTTCCGTCACACACAAACCCTGGACACGTGTCGCTCTCTAGCGTCCTCACCTTCTCCGCGTCCGTACAGCCTAATCCTCCACCTCCATCCCCCATGCACGTGCTTATCACGCTCTCCACCGTCACCCAAGACTCCGCCACCTTCCCCGCCGCAACAAGATCTGAACCCTTTCCTCCCTTCCCTTCCTCCGCCGTCGCACACGGCGCCTTCGGATTCCGATTCTCCACGATCTGAATCTTCTCCACCGTTAGGTCAAGATCGACGTTCTTACACCACGAATCTCCGGCCACCGAGTTTCCTCCCGGAGCTTCCTTCTCCGGCATCAACTGCAACGTCACAACCGCCACGTCCGACGACTTATCAATATCTTTACCGCTACCGTTAACGATATTACTACTATTCTTTCTCACGTATCCACTGTTCCTCCGAATCCTAACGTACTTCCTTTTCGGTCTCTTCCCGAGGACTGACACGTGGCTACTCTGACTTACCTCTCCTCCGCCGCCGCATACTGCGGCGGAGGAACCTCCGGCGACTGGTTTGGGCGCGATCGGCCGGAAGCGGAGCATTATTCTGTTGACGTGAGAAGCGGCGTTGGCGTCTGCACAGGCGGCCAAGCTCCAGACATCTCCACTGTCCATCACGGTCACGGAGGGTGGAAACAAGAGGCAGCGAAAGCGAGTGTTAGATCTTTGTTTCTCTCTCTCTTGGTTTCTCTCTCTAGCGATTGTTTTGGGTTCGGTGCTGAGAGATGGAGCGGAAGCGATAATGATAACGGCAGCACGGTGGCTGGGTGAAGGAGCGCCACGTGTCTAGGTTAACCGAAGGTGATTGGAGCAAATTTAGTATGTTACTTATCTCCTTTCAAAAGGACAAATGCTACCTAGAGCCTTAAATACATTACGGTATTATATAAATCATAAAAAAGTATTTATTAATTTGTAAAAATGTATTTTGTAAGATGAAAAATGTTAGATTTTGAAAGAAAAGGTGATAATGTGGATAGTAAATGTTGGAGTTAAAAAGAGTAAAAAAGGATTTAATTTGAAATGTGAAATGGTAAAATAGGAGGAAGTTGAGGGTGGGAAAAGTGGCGTATCTGGGAGGCGTAGATGGAGACGTTGTGATTGGCCCACGGCGATGGGAAGGAGCCAATGAGGGAGGAGAGGGTGTGCAGCACTCCTGGAAAGAGAGGGGGTACGTGGCCTCTTTGCAGGGAGCAGCACACCACAATATTCTCGTCTTCGATGTGCAAATCACTTTCCTGTCACATCACCACCACACGTGCACCCTTTCTATTTGCCAACAACAACCATTACTCCCTCCCACTTTATCTTTTCTTTCAACCAACACACTCTTTTTCTATTCAAATTTTTCATTTCTTCTAATTTTAACCTTTCAAATACAACTTCATTTGTAAAAATCATTTATTTTTTATTTTTATAAATCACTTGTTTTATAAACAATATAATTATAACTTAATAAATAAACTAATGATAAAATTTAAGTTTTATATTTTAAATTAAGGAAGAAGTTACATTGAGACAACATCTACAAAAATACGGAAGCATTAATCAAGCAAAGACCTTTTGATATCCCAGAAAAATCTAAAAAGCCAGAAGAAAAAAATAGTTTTGGACAAATTAGAACTTTGAACTTTGACACATCATGGATACACTAAAATTGGCAATGATCGATGTTTCAGTAGGGATGTGGAGACCAAGATACGAACCTAACAACCTTGCTCCCTTTCTCTCTGGTGCTGGCTTCACTGTGTTATATTTCTCTATCTCTTCTCAAATATTCGTAAGCAAAGTGGGCTGGGTACCTGCAAAGGCACTCCGACGCTCAAGTCAACAAGGGTGTTGTTCGAAATATGAAAATCTCAATCAATTTTCTCTTAGGGGAAAAACGTACCTTTTTTCTGGTGTGCTTCGTATATTTAAATTAACATAATAAACCGTTTACCTGAAAATCCGGTCAGTTACTGAAGTGGAAGTTGTAACCGTCGAATTGTGCGCTGACACTGAGTCAATTATTTCCACGATATATGGTCGTGATTCGCGGCGTTATTCAGTCAAGGTGTGTAACTGCTTAACTGCTAGATCATGGTGTCACATTCTGTATGTCGATCATCATTCGTGTCGACCTAAGTGGATGACGTGTCGGACGTATGTCTCATGTCGCGACATCGCTATGCTTATGCGGCTGTCGAAGCCTCAAATGGTCGAGGAGCGTCACGTGGGTCCGTAAGCATTACGGTTGGTATCAAGTGATCGACCAAGCTGTGTGGTTCGAAGTCATACAGTAACCTTCAGTGGTCTGTATATTGACCTTTGGAGGGTTTGGGTATCCATATAAGTCCCCCAAAGTCGAGGTAAATGGGTGACAAAGTACGAAAGGACTTTGAATATGTTGAGAGAGCGAGGGGAAGTGGAGACAACGAGGAGACGTGGAGTAGACGATGAGTCGTTGAGAAAACGAGGAGACGTGGATAAAACGTGGATGACAGCTGGTCACGGCGTTACGAATTTTAGGGTTTTCCCGCTCCTTTAGGGAAGTGAAGAGACGCGAATTAGTAGCCGTTAGATCAAAAGAATCCTACGGCCCTTGACGATTTTTTTAAACCGTTTTTTTGGACTTCTTAGCCACACGAGTTTCAGAAGGGGTTTAGGGTCACTTTGCAGGAAAATCAGACATTGAGAGCGTTTGTACGGCTAGCGAAGTGATTCTCTTCCGTCAGATCTCATTGACTGCGTTACTACGAGAATCAACAGGTAACCCTTAAAATCTCTTCCGTATTAGTTGTATTATATTGATCATGGAGGGAGGGGGCCAGGATACTGGGGGCACGAAACGCCGGGGCCGTCATCTACGGTGGAATGTGCCCGCCCAATTACTACATAGTATGGGGAGAGAGCCTTTGTAGATGGAAAAACGTATGTGGTGAGGGTCCAGGGGGACGCATGATTATCTCTGATTAGCGGGAGATGACTACGCTGGGCGGCGCGTGAGGTAAGGAACTGAGGAGTCAATTTAGGAGTAGGGCTTATCCTTAGGATTGGATTGAGAATAGTTGTGGGTTGAGGACCTAGGTTATCAGACTGTGTGAAACTGGTTCGCGTGTCGGGAGGATGAGAGGGTTTGGCATGGGAGGGAGGAATGCTGCTGATGAATTCTTTTACTGTTATGCTGCGTTATCTACGATTTGTATGTAAGATTGCCGTTCACACTTTCCCCAAAAGATTGTTTGCGAAACCTTGAATGTGGCCACCCTAGCAACTGCATCCCAATAGTTGGGGATATGTACAGGCCTTCGGGGTGTTGTGTGGGGTGTAGGAATTAGGCCTATGTAGGCTTGTTTTTTGTGACTTCTTTAGATGTCGCCCGCTTGCGGACGAGAGGGTGGGTGGTCACTGATTTCAGAACCAGGGTAACGCAATGGTAGAGCTTTACCTGACAATCGTATAGGGGTTTAAGGACCAAAATTTTTTAATGGGTGTCGATCAACGATTGCGTGGTCGCCGGTTCTTTTTTTATGCGTGAGGGGGAATCCAGCTTTCCTTATATTGGACACAGGAGCCTCTGAACTTTACCTGTGGTCGGAGGATAAGAGTACGATTGAAGCAGTGGAAGCTTGAGTGTGTTGACTCGTTGCCCCGCCCCTTCTTTTACGTCAGATATAGGATTGCCTCCTCGGTCGATGACGCGGGGGCGAGGGTGTTTGGTATGTGTCTTTACCTACTACTTTTGTAAATTGTTATGTTTGTTGCCTGCAGTGGGGTGGAAGGATGTTTGTGTTTGCAGATCTAATGGGAAAGGGGAAATGGTAGGGGTATCAATTGGTTTCAGAGCTTGATAGCGAGAGGGATGAAGGTAATCGGCCAGGGTCGTCTGTGGGCAAACGCCTCCCAGGGGGGCTTGCCACCATCTGGTCAACTCCAGTCGTTAGGGAGCGGCGGTTTGTGGAGGCAACACAAGTGAGGTGCCCCTTGTGCGCAAAAGGAAAGCCAAGACAGTCGACCCTAATCGCGAGGCGTCAAAGAAAAGTAAGGAGGTGGTTGAAGACACTGAACGTCCCCTTCCGCTGGGCATATGGGATCGCGCCTTCATGCCGGGTCATAGAGTGGGCCTCAACCTGGATGCCTTCAGAGGAAGAGAAGGTTGATCGAGAACATGAAGCGAAGCAACAAATTGCTGTTGACAGCTGGCTGGAGAAGATGAAACACGAGCACAAGCGCTTTGGCTTGGCATCTGGCGATGCTTCGGATAGGGGGTCAGATAGATGCGGTCTGGAGTTAGGAAAAGGTTGCCGGTGCCCAAATGAAAGAGCTTGCCGAGCGGTCCATGCTGGCTGTGAGGGGTCAGGCAGAGAAGCAAGAAGCGTGCGTGTGAAGAAATGTTTGAAGGAGGGTGAGGCACGGTGGAATAAGACTCGGGAAGCTGGGGTGGTCTCCAACAAGAACGCGATCAGATGGCGAGGGATCTGGATCAAGCGAAGAACTCGATGCTGATAGTGGCCCGAGAGAGAAAGCGCTGAAGGTAGAAAGATCTTTGAGCACAAGGAGTTGATCGAGGAGCTGAAGGATGCGGTCATGGATGAACATAAGAAGTGCTTAAAGAAGGATTTGAGGCAAGTCGGGCACTTGCTTCAGGTATCGACCAAGGGAGCTGAATTTGACGTCCGTAAGGATGTACATGAAGGTCACCTGAAGCCCTTGAAAGAAATTCCGGAGGACGCTATTCTCGAGGGGGAAGAGGATGAAGAGGTGGTCGCCAACAACGAGCCCGAAAGAGCAACGGAGGTTAATGAGCCCGCCAAGGAGAGTGCTGAAGCTGTTGAAGGCGATACATCTAAAATTGTAATAGATTAGGATGTAATAAGGATTTGTATATACATACTTGGATATTTTGTTGATGACTATGATCTTGAAATTTGATAATACATGAATGTTTGACGCTGAAATAGAAGGCGTTTTGCATGTTTGGCGATATTGCAGTTTGTTTTTTAACTCAGGTGATTCTGCCACTTATTTGTAATGATCGTTAAGTGTGAGTGTCGAGTACACTGGTAACGTGTCGTGGGACAGTCGAGAGGGCGATAGTCGGAGTGAGGGAAAATATTGGGTGTCCGGGGTGAACATCTTACCGAGGGAGGTATCCCAAGCATATTGGGTGTTCAAGGGTGAACATCGACCAATGGGAGGGTATCCCGAAGCGACGGGGGTTCAAGGGTGAACATTTACAGTGAGTGTGCTCTGAAGCCCTTTGTGTAGAAGGGTCCGGTACGACAAGCCTGGGACTCGACATTAGCACAGTGATAAATGAATCTAAACAATAACATGATGAAACGTAATCTTTATTCGATAACTGAATTGGATAGTGTTGTAAAAAGAATGAACAAGACATTAACTAAAGTAATGTTTGAGGTGGGTGGCGTTCCAGGTATTGGGGACCGGTCGGTCATCAAAGAAGCATGGAGGCGTATTATGCGGCCCGTTCTACATATTCTCTGCGACCCGAAAGGGTCCTTCCCAGTTAGCTGCAAGTTTGCCATGGGCTCGATTCTTCCGAGCCTCTCCCCCGTTTCCGCCACACCAATCGCCACTTTGGGAAAAGGCTATGGGCTGACCTTGAGTATTGTACCGTCGAGAGAGCATGCGCTTCAGCCGGCCTCAGCGCGGATGGTGGCAACCTCTCGACGTTCAGGAAGGACGTCGAAGATTCGTCCGTAATGCTCTTCATTAAGCGGACATATCAGTGATTTGCGTCTCAATGAGGCTCGCCTTACCTCGAGGGAGCATGGGCATCGTGCCGAGGGTTAAGTTGAGGGCGTGTCCCGAGGTG